CTGAGAGATATCTCTGTAGACTACTAGTTTCACAATTACTACTTATTTATTATTTTATTTTATTTATTTTGTCAAGCATGTATTAGATAACATATATAAGTATAAACTTGATTTTGGATACATGAAATGGATACAAATAAAAAGGGACATTAGGACAGGGATGGTAGGCACGTTGGTGCGCTTATGCACAACTCTTACAGACCTCTTAGGAATGGAGTGAGGTCGACAATAGACAGTCTAAGGTTAAAGTTGTGAGGGTTTGGGGAAGAAACCACAGAGTCAGGTAGTGCATTCCAGGCATTGACCACTCTGTTGCTAAAGTCGTATTTTCTGCAATCGAGTTTGGAGTTTGTATCTATTGTGTGCTCAACTATTGTTGTGGTTGAAGCTGAAGTAGTCATTGACAGGTCAATGAAAGTCGTAAAGAAGCTGAACTCACTGAATATCTTGTTCCTTGACTTAGAAATCAAATCAAATCAATGTGCTTGTTTACCTTAGATATTCAAAGCTTGAATTAGATGTACACAAATAGCACAATTAAATCATAATTAAAGAAGACTTTATAGCTTTCCTTCCTTTCTCTCCAACATATTACATATTTCCTTGAAGCCTAGGTGGTGATATGATCTCTCTCTGTCCTCTTTTTCCTAACTTAAAGCCTTTCTATAGCCTTAGAAGAATGTCCTTTACTAGCTTCATTGGTAGAGCAATAGCTAGAGGCATTTACGGGCAGCAAATAATGAAGGCATGTCCTGATTTAAAAAAACACCATGCCGTAAATATTTACATCAAACATTAAAGATTCAAATTAAGGATGGAATTTACATCATGATGTCACTATGTAATGTAGGTAACAATTTTGCACAATTCATTTTGTGCAGATGCCTATAGCAGCAGTCTTAAGAAAGGTGCAAGATGGACAGGTGCACTAGAAAAATTGAAAACCTAGAAGGTGGTGCATGGATCTGATAAGACTGGATTTTCCAAATTTTAAATTAAAATGTCAGTGTGTATGCACCTTTGAAGACTACTTAGAAACTGTACTGAGTCCTGCAGACTGCAGCACAGTCTGGCACTCATTTTTTAAATAGCTGTATGTGAAGCACCAGTATAGAAATAAAAAAAATACACTGAATAAGCAAACATTTTAAACCTAGTATTCAAGCATAGATTGATTAGACTAAAGACATACAACACATACACACACACATACACCCACTCCACAAACGTAGGCAGAGGCACATTTTTAGTATTTTACATGAATGTATCAGACATACATTTTACTGAATTCTTGCATTAAGGGGGAAGGAAAGGAAATGTTTTTTTAAAAAATGTCTGAGAAATAACAAAACCAGTGGATAAATATTCTGCTTTTGCATCCTTCTCATTAGCAAATCTTTCTAATTTGGATGAACAAACACATTTGCTGAAAAAAGATTATAGGACTGAGAACCAGCTCTCTATACCGTTTGTAAAGATTTTTGCCTTCTTAGTAAGATAATTATACCTGAATTGCTGAACATATGTTTAAATTACATTATTTGAAAGGAAGGCAACTCTCAATGTAACATTGTCTTCTTGACATGGAATATGAAAGAGAAAAAAGTGTGTTGCCACATTCTCAGTTAATCTAAGGTGACTTTTAAACCAAATTATTTGGAGAAAGCTATTGTCTTTTCAAATATATTGTTAGCCAACGAGTACAACTTTTATGTTAGAAAAGCTATTTTAATGCAATGCTTTATGTATTTTCTTTCTCTCCTTTAGGCTTTGGACTTATTTTGTGAAGCTTGCAATGAAGTGTCTTTTAATGTACCTCATAAACTGAAGATGGGAATGTTTATTGGCAGAGGTGAGATAACAACCTCCCTCCTACTGGAGTTTGGACACTGGAATTTGAATCTGGGTTTTGTAAAAGTCTTTTACAGCAACAGTAATTTTCTAGAGGCTAACAATGCCATCACTGTAAATGGTAGCCAGAAAAGTTCTGACTCCTATGATTTAATATAAGCATGTATTTATTTTAAATTATTTAGGCCTTAAGCAAATATTTTAAACATTTCCCTCACCCCCAATGAATTGTACAATGTAGTGATTAGAATGGAACAGTCAGAGTTTAAGTCCTCTGCAAATATTGGATGATTCTGGATTATTCTCTATGCCTTTTCTCTTTTCAACTGGTTTTTGAATTTCTTCTTCTTTTTCTTGCAGTAAAAATGAAACATTGTCTTAATGATACTGGAATTATTGGTATAAACAATCCCAATTTTGTAATTCTGGAAGATGGTTCACTGTATACCAAAAATGCTATTTCTTTGACTACACATGAAAGCATCATTACTGTATTTTTAAAAAATGTTTATACACATGAGCAAAAGCGGATATATGTTAGCTTGCTAACATACCCCCAAAAGGTATATATAATTATAATAATATATTATATATGTACAATTCCTTTCATTCTTGAGTCTATCACTCATCACACACATCTTATCATCCTTCCTGCATTCATTCTACTTTATTTGAGAGCAATATAACATTAAGTTTAATAAAGTGAGAATGGGACATTTAAGTATGTTGATAAAAGAAAAAGACACATGTTCAAGAATGAATAGTTGATGAATGCCCATGGATGTTCCAGGAAAAAAAAGTATGTCTCGTAAGCTTAGTGATGTAGAGAGAATGAATGAGGACTGAATTGCATGACAATTATAACAGGAAAAAGTGAATGGACTAAAGGCGAAATATATGGTTGGGTGGAGTTAATGACATTCTCAAAAATGGAGAGGTAAGAAGTTTAAAGCACAAAAGGCAATGTACGAAACAGTTTATTATCATTAGGAAAGCATGATGGTTCGCAAGAAAAATAAAAATAAAAAACAAAGCATCCAATATAAATCCCTTTTATATAACAGAAAGTAATCATAACTGGATTACTTTTATTTTTATTTATTTATTAAATTTATTTGCCATCCATCTCATATCAAAATCTTCAGATCGTTTAGTTTTAAAATACTAAAATCCTAACAGATAGGTAATTCTAAAACAATAAATATAGAAATCACAATCAAAAGAAAATTATAGTTAAATGTTGGGGAGAAAGGGAACAGGATGTGTGTGTGGGAGATGGGATTGCCTCTTAATTCATCAATCACCTCCAGTGTTATGCTCCCCTGTTGGAGCCTCAAACCATCTGGCAGAGCCAGATCTTCAGCCTCCTGCAGAAGGTTGGAAGGGTGGGAACTAATCTCGCCTCAGGGGGTGAGATGTTCCAATGGATGGGCGCCATGGCAGAGAAGTCCCTTCTCCTAGATCCTGCCGGTCGGAATTCCTTGATTGATGGGCCTATAGTAAGCCTCCTCCTAGCAGGGGTGGTGAGTGCCCAGTCCAGAGGGGATGAGGCAGTTCCTCAAGTACCCTGGCTCCATGCCATGCAGATTCAACGACATTTAGAAATAATGGCTGCAGCCCAACATTTTTGTATATTTTGCATACTGTATATTCAGAATATACACTAAGAAATGCACAGAAGCATAATGGGAACAGTTCAAATGGTTTATGGTCAATGGGGAGATCTCCAAGATATATGAGCAACTGATTCAGTTTAAATATTTATCCATATACTGTTATTTAATTTCCCATTAATACCATCAAAACAATTTAGCCATGCAAGTATAAATGGCCTTCTATACGAGGGACAATACTGTGCATTTAGTCCTGTCTTAGGCATGGAAGTAAGCAGGGTGACTTTGGGCCAGTCACCGTCTCTCAACCCAACTCATCACACAAGATTGTTGTGGGGAAAATAGGAGGAGGAAGGAGCATTAGGTATGTTCATTGCAGATAATTAAGCTCACATGAAGTAAATTAAATTTGATCTTTCCTTTTCTTTTTTCTTATCTCATTTTTGATTGCTTACCATTTCTTTCTTATTTTCTGTGCTTTGCATAATGTTTCTGACTCCTCAAGAATATTAGGAATATGTATATATTTTATTTTCATGTTTATATTGCATCTTTTAGCATTCCTATTTTATTATATATTGTTTATATGATGTTGGTATAAAAATCAATGTGAAAATGTACTGTTAGCATTTTTCTTAATTTATGGAAAAACATTCCTATGAAATAAAAAATGGATTATCAAATAAACTTAATCAGTGGCATTAGTGTTTTAATAATCGATGTAATTGTAAAATGGAAAAACAATTTAATTATATAATCCGACATGTAAAGTTAAAATAATTCTAAAAATCAAAAGAATTATATTTTTTTCCACACTACAATTATGTTAGGAATTAATATGTTACAATGTTTATAATAACATAGATTAAGGTAACTCAAAACAAAAGCATTGATCTCTTTTATCTCTTCTAGGACTCAAAAACTAAGAGAAGGCATGTCCGATCAACTGTTGTGGGACGAACAAAACGAAGATGGGCTCCAGTCCCAACTATTATAATGGAAAACTCACTAGGTCCTTTTCCTATGCAAATTCAACAGGCATGTTTTTAATGTAATCTTCATTTGACATTTCATCTAAATTACACCTGCCAATAAATGAAATGTACGGTAGTCATAGAAGTAGACTTCTTCCCAGAATGTAAATTTTTCTCCTCCTAATTTTCCTGTAGTAGCTTGTTACCAACCTTTAAATAGTTTTCTAAAGCACTGAGGAGACTTGTTTGAGGAGGAACAAAGTGTCTGCAAAATCCTTTGCAGTGCTAAAGCAAGGCAAAGTACCTCCATGAGGCAAAGTGCATCACCAAGGCCTATCACTTGCAAAACTGCAGACACAAAATATACTCATTGTTGTGAGGATATCTTCTTTGTTGTAATCTGGAAAGGTCTATATGGTACTTACAACAAAGCATACCTATGAAATGTATTCTACTTAATTTCAGAAATGAAATCAAATTGCTGCTAATTCCATCTAGAAATAACAGGCATACAGTAACATCTGATGGGACTCCATATAAGAGTCTACCAATTATAATTGTCCATTAAATTTTTAAATGATTTTGTCTTTAGAGTTGATTGGCAGGCCATAATAGCTTCTCCATTGCTAAGATCAGGGGTGTCAAACTCAAGGCCTGGTGGCTAGATCCGTGGCCCGTGGGCTGCTTAGAACAGGCGCCCAGGACATGCGGTGGACCGGCCCACAGTGCCTCTGCCAGTGAAAACGGAGTTCAGGAAGGCCACGAGCAGCTCGCCTAAGCTCCGTTTTCACTGGCAGATGGTTGCAGGAGGCTGTCACAGCCAAAGATAGAGCTTGGGAGCCTGTTTTCTCTGGCAAAGCGCTCAGGCCACTACAGACGCCCCTGACATGAGTAATGTCAAGCTGGCCATGCCCACTCTGGCCACACACCCTTGGCCCCCCAAGGTCAAATACAATCCTAATGTGGCCTTTCAAGGTTGACACCCCTAGTCTAGATGTATTCTGAGACAGTTTAGTTGACATATCCTACTTTCATTATAGACCTTCCATGAAATATGAGTTTGATCTAGAACAATTAATATGCTATGCCATATGCTAATCCATTTGGTTAACAGGTTACAACCATTACACACCTTATATGGTGCCTATTGTACACTTAAATGTATTGTGATCTTAATGATCTATAAAGAAGTCCTTTGCAATAATCATTGGCCAATGCACAAAATATTCTTAATGAATTTTCAACGAATTCAGTTAAATTGAAATGAATTATGTAGACAAGAAGTAAAGAATTATATTTGTCAATTTAATTTCATGACTTTATTTTCAGCTGTCTTCTGACATGGCATTAAAGTACAATATTAGATATTTCATCACTGGCCCTGGTGTTGACAAACCACCACTGAATTACTTTTACATTGAGCAAGAAACTGGAAATCTCTTTGTTACTTGCCCAATAGATCGTGAAGAATACCCAGAATTTCAGGTATGTGATTCTAGACATGTGATTCTAGACATAGACATATACACACACTACACAAATAATGATATGAGACTGTATGCACTGCATAGATTTCAGAGGGACAGACCTATGATTTTGATCTGTCAATATTCTTTGAATTTTTATATAAGAATCAGATCCATAATAGAAAGCTATTTTGAAATTAATTAAACTGTGTTAATATAATTATTCCCTGTTTATTTAATAATATTTACCCCCTGTTACATTAAAAATATTACTTGAGGCCATTTTTTGAGGATTCTTGTGGTTATACTTAAAAAGCCTACTTATACAATGAGAATGATTTTTGTATCTGAGGTATGGGATAAACAGCATTAACTTGTTAGTCAATCACAAAGTTTCCCGAGCACAAGTTTCTTAAAAAAAAACAAAAAACACCTCTAACTTTTCCCCTATAATCCAATCATGCCAGAGAAAATAGATAGTGTACCGGAGATGGTATTCAGCAGGTTCTGACCAGTTCTGGAGAACTGGTAGTGAAAATTTTGAGTTGTTTGGAGAACCAGTAAATACCACCTCTGACTGGTCCTGCCCTCATCTATTCTCTGTCTCACGAGCCCCAGCTGATTGGGAGGGAATGGGGATTTTGCAGTAACCTTCCCCTGGAGTCGAGTGGGAATGGAGATTTTATAGTATCCTTCCCTTGCCATGCCCACCAAGCTACATCACGGTCACCAAGCTATGCCCACAGAACTGGTAATAAAATTTTTGAATCCCACCATTGCAGTATACAAATACCTAGATATAAAGAACATATTCATGAGAAGCTGCTCAGGTCCACCAATAATCTTATGACTATAATAATGGGTTGTAGAAGAATGCAAACCTTATAGTTTTTTCTGAGTTCCCACTTGAACTTTCATTTTTCTTATCTCACCCTATCATTTTCCCTGGGTTTATATTGCTTTAGCCAGTGCCTTATCAGTATTCTTCCATCAAGTCTCCGTGCTTACACAAAGACATCCTTTCTATGACCTTGGCATCTTACTCCTTTCCTTGGTCATTTAATGGGTCCCTTTTCCTATTCTTCTTCTTCTTCTTCTTCTTCTTCTTCTTCTTCTTCTTCTTCTTCTTCTTCTTCTTCTTCTTCTTCTTCTTCTTCTTCTTCTTCTTCTTCTGTCCTTCTTTATGTTTNTCTTCTTCTTCTTCTTCTTCTTCTTCTTCTTCTTCTTCTTCTTCTTCTTCTTCTTCTTCTTCTTCTTCTTCTTCTTCTTCTTCTTCTTCTGTCCTTCTTTATGTTTGGTCAATTCAAGGCAGGGAACATTTATTTATTTATTTGGAAAACTTTTATTGCCATCTACTTGCTCATAGGTGACTCAATGTGGCTTACAGGAAAAAAAACTACAGTATAAAAGAAATAAAAGTAATACAATAATAAAAAATAAATAATAACCCCACTCCTCATCCTGGTGACAACACACACTCATACCAGCCATTTAATGAGTTCCCCAGGCTTGCTGACAGAACTATGTCTTCAGGGCCCTCTGAAAGAGTGTCAAAGAGGAGGTCAGTCAAATTTCCAAAAGGATGATGTTCCTGAGGAGGTAGCCACCACTGTGAAGGTCCTTCTTCTGGTTCCCACCAGATACATCTCATTAGGGACTGGACCTGCAACATCCCTTGCCTCCTCCCTCTAGGGGAAATAACTAATATTTTCTTCTGATTCTTTCTTCTACTAACTTTCTCATATATCTTTTTATGTCTTTGGTTTATTATGTTATTTTATGTTAAATAGCTTGCTTTGCCTTATGCTTTTCATTTGTTTAATTTGTAGCTCATCTTTATGCCTAATATTTGTATGCTCTTTACATATTTTTTGAACATCTCTAGAACTTAGCATTATACCTTGCTACAAGAAAGGAGTTTACTAATGCAGGAGCATTCACCTTGTGCACATAGAAATATGATTAATAGCTATTCATCAAAGCAAATTCTGTACAGCCTATAAATTAAACAATTGTGTCCTAATTTATCAGAAATTTTTCATTTGCTCCAGAGGAATAACTGTTTGTTTTATTGCATTTTCTGCAGCTCATTTGCTATGCAATGACACCGGATGGATATACCCCAGAAATCCCACTTATTCATCTCATCAAAATAGAGGATGATAATGATAATACTCCAGAATTTGAGTATAATATTTATACTTTTCATGTACCCGAAAACAGTATAATTGGTAATTGAACTTTTAAATAATTCTCAGATCACAGATTTGGAATAAAGGTAGCCCTCATTTAGCAACTACAATTGGGGCCGGCAACTTGGTTATTAAATGAAGCAGTCACTAACTGAAATTGTGACTATGCTGTTGATCTTACTTCAGCTTTTATTTGCTGTGTTTTGCAACACAGGTTGCAAATGGGAGGATTGGTTGCAAAAAATTTTTTCCCACCATCATAAGGTCACTGCACAAGGCCATCACTAAACAAGGACGACCTGTATCTGTTTTGATATGTTTTGTGTGAAATTATCACATCAGTTATTTAAATGCAAACATAGACTTTGTTATTGAGGAATGCAAAATTTATTAATAATAAAATATAATGGTAGCAGTAGTATGTTTAATAATGTCAAATAATTTTTGTATGGAAGGGCCTTGCCTATTTCCTAGGGCTGAGAGAGTATGACCAGCCCACGGGCACTTTATGACTAAGGCGGAACTAAAACTCAGTGTCTCCTGGCTTCTAGCCTGCTGCCAACCACCAGACTGGCTAAATGGGGAAATTGATGCAATTCACTTTGATATTTGAATAATGGGAGCATAGCTTTTCTTCTAAAGGAGGAATGCCTGAGTATTATGAAAATCTAAAATTGATGCCTTCTAAATATAGGAACAATTGTTGGACAAGTGACTGCAAAAGACAAAGATGAACCCAATACACTGCATAGCAAAGTGAAATACAGAATTATATCCCAGAGTCATCAGAAACTTCAGGAATTTGTTATAGATCCAGATTCAGGCTGTATTACGGTAGCGTTACATCTGGACAGAGAGGTAACTTTCAATTTAGTGCTATACCAAAAACTGTGAAATCATAAATGAAATAGCATAAAGCTGAGGATAACAAAGGATAAAATAGATTTGTTTTAGATAGAGTAGCTGCAATAAGTCTGAAGTCAAAAGTCCTTTATGTAGTTAGGAATTATATAGATATTGTGAAGCCAAGTTCAGATAATTTAGTGGGTAACTTTGGAACGATGTCTCAATCTGTCTGACCTATTTCATAAGATATGAAGATATGATGTGGGATACTGAAGGGAAAGAAGCAAAGGCATTGCAAGTATCTGAGCATTAAACAGTGCCAAGTTATTTTTGTAAGAGTAAAAGGGACGTAGTAGCTCAGTGGCTAAGGCTCTGAGCTTGTCAATCAGAAAGGTCAGAGGTTCGGCGGTTCGAATTCCTAGTGCTCCCGTTACTTGTCCCAGCTTCTGCCAACCTAGCAGTTCGAAAGTATGTAAAAATGCAAGTAGAAAAATAGGGACCACCTTGGTGAGAAGGTGACAGGGTTCCATGTGCTTTTGGTGTTTAGTCATGCCGGCCGCATGACCACGGAGACGTCTTTGGACAATGCTGACTTTTCGGCTTTGAAATGGAGATGAGCACGCCCCCTAGAGTTGGGAATGACTAGCACATATGTGTGAGGGGAACCTTTACCTTTAACCTTTGGATGAAATGGCAATGTTGAATAAATTCTAAGTGACTAATCCCACAGCCTTTGCTTTTGTTTTTTAAAAACACAGTATTTTTAATCAGCCCAGGAAAATTATGCCTACATTTTTTTCTAATGTTCTTCAGACTGTACCAACATACACACTAAACATAGAAGCAAGAGACATGGGAGGTGAGGAGTTTGGTTTGTACACTACAGCACCAGTACATATTGAGATTGGAGATGTAAATGATAATCTACCTCAAATAGCACAAAGTATGGTAAGTCTATCATAGTAAAACTTATTGAAGATGTTACTTCTTTATGATATTTTTAGGGTGTTAACCCAGTTACAGTGAATGTTAAATTAAAAAAAATATTGGGCAATTCCACTTACACTCTGGAGTTTCTGTTACGCTGCTTCTGCTTATTTCATCATGCATGCCCCAATTTTTTTCCAATCTTCCAAAGCAAAATTTGGAGATGCCATGGGATTGGAAGGGTTAAAATTTTTCCTACTGTTGGACCAGAATCCATTCACAGAACAATAGAGATAGTATTAGGAAGGTTAAAAGTCAGAATGAGCAGTATTTGGAGAACAAAAAGTCATCAAGTACAGTATGCTTAAGAACTAGATGTTTAAAAAGAGACCCAACATAGTAAAAAGCTGCTCAGTAACATGACAACACCTTAAGGTGACAAAGAAATATAATACTTGTATTTTGGCACAGTCTTCGCTAAAAAGAAGGTAATGGGTGAAAAGGGGAGAGGGTTAAAGTAGAAGGATTAGAGCTTGGGATAGTCAGAAAATATTTATTAGCTTGGAAAGAATTTTCAGGGTGAGATGAAGCCTGTCTTATACTACAGTACTGAAGCAACTTTTGATGTCTAACAATTAGCTATGTTATCTTTGGAAAATACTTAAGGATGGATAAACTGCCAAATGATTGCCTTTCCTTTTTTTTTTTTTTTTTTAGAAAAAAGTGACAGAGAATCTGAGCAATTGGCTACCAAGCCAGATACAACTGGACAGCATCACATGATTATTAGATGAATCTTATCTGTCATTAGAACTATTCATGAACTAATATTTGAAAATTGTTTTTTTCAGTATGTAGTGGAAGTATATGAAAACATAGAACATGCAGAAATATTATGTATTCCTGTTGAAGATAAAGATGAATCCAGAACATCATCATGGATGGGTATATTTGTTATTACTAAAGGAAATGAAGATAATAGTTTTGCTATTAGAGTTGATCCACAGCAGAATATTGGGTGTTTAAGCACTTTAAAGGTAACTATGGATAGTAAAAAGTGTTACTGCAATAATATGAATTGACTTAATTTTAAGGTGTGAATCACTTGTTGAAATATATTTTTCACCACTTTCTAAAGATGTATTTTACTTTTTAAAAAATGTAATACTATTTTCCATTAAAATATGTTGGGATAAAGGTGGGAGAATAAACTAAAATGAAATTTTAAAATAGTAATAGACACTATATTTTCATCAACAACCTAAAATCATAGTAGTAAAATGTCTTAGTAGTAGTATATCTATTTGAATAGCTTCTACTTTCTCCAGGAACTAGATTATGAGAAAAGTCACGAGAGAAGATTAGAAATTGTCATAAATAATGAGGCACCTTATGTTCCACCTCCAAATTCAAGAGCTCTTCAAACAAGTGTGGCAAGCATTGTGGTCAAAATTAAGGATCAGGATGAAGGACCTGTATTTGAATCTTGTGAATATATTCTACACATAAGTGAACGCTTGTTGGTTGGCACAGTGGTTGGTAATTACCAAGCAATGGACCCAGAAACTGGAAACAAACATTTAAGGTACAAAATTATTATATTGTTAGGTTCATTTATAGATTGTGTGTAACATAAAGCAATTATAATTAACTTTCATTGTTGTAATAAATTTGAGGTACATAACCTTGTTAAAATATTTATTCTTAACAGTTACAAAATAATAAAGGACCCATGTGGTTGGATCACCATTGATGAATCAGGAAACCTCAGGACAACTGAAAGTTTAGAAAGCGATTCAAAAATCATAGAATACAGTCAATGCAATGTAACAGTATCTGCAATTGATCAAAGTGAGTATCAAGTGTTGTGAAATGTTGTTATTTTTGCTACATGTATAAAGTTACCTGATGTGGCCTACAAAAATATGATCAGATATTTTTGATGGCTGTATTAAAATATTTTCTTTTATTGTAATCTAATGATCACTCAATTTTTGCAACCCTGGTCTGTAGCCCTAAGTAGACAGGTATAATATTTGAAATCAATTGTACATCTCTTTTAAAATCAATCTCCTTTGGATTGTTTCACAATATTTACTTGGGGTGATTATTTGACATTTTTCTTCAAAATCTTTTTTAGATGTAGAGCTGGAATTATATTGTTCTATAGTGGAATAGAATCAACAGAATAGATCCTTGTCCATCCTACTCTGTAGTCTCTGCAGGACCTCATCTACCAAGTAGAAAACTATGAGCTGATTGTTATTTAACTTACCTTTGCATTTATTAGATATTATTGTAGTTTTCTTCTGAGAATTTGAGAAACAAATATACTTGGCAGTAATTCATCCTGTTAGCAATGCATAATTCTGCAGTTTAACAAAATACATTACAATTCTGTGGATGTGTGCTGCAGCTGCCAAAAAAAGCCAATGCAGTCCTAGACTGAATCAAGAAAGGAATAGTATCAAGATTACATGAAGTATTCCTATTACTATATACTGGTTTCATAAAACCACACATGGAATACTGCATCCAGTTTTGGTCACTATGATACAGAAAAGAAGTTGAGACTCCAGAAAGAGTGCAGAGAAGAGTAACAAGGATAATTTAGGACACAGGAACTGAACTCAAACAAATGACAATGATGGCAATCTTCCAATATTTCAGGGACTGTCACAAAGAAGAGGGGAACAACCTCTTCTCCAAAGCACCTGAGGACAAGACAAAAAGTAATGGAAATGTATCAGAGAGATCCAACCTAGAACTAAGGACGACAAGAACAATTAATTAATGGGCTTGCCTCCAGAAGTTATGGATGCTCCATCTTTGGAGGTTTTGAAGTAAAGATTGGATAGCCATTTTTCTGGAATGCAATGGAATCTCTTGCTTGAGCAGAGGGTTGGATTAGAAGACATCAGGGTCCCCTCTCCCTCTGTTATTTTATTAAAATGTCTTTCTTCCTTTGGATTATGGATTAGCAGTTTATGAAACCAATAAGATGTTTTATTTAGCTTTCACAGAAAAATAATACTTTTGTAATGTTATATGATTGGATCAAGTTACTTTCATATTAAAACTAAGCATTCTAATTTATCTAGGTGGTAAAACAGGAAATGGAACAATTGTGATAGTACTTATGATTGAGAACAATTACCCAGTGAGTACCAGTAAACACTATGTCATGTGTAAAGATAAAAAAACGATCTGTATAAACGCCACTGACATTAATTTGCCAATGTCTACTATACCTTATCATTTTGAAATAGAGAAACCAGTGGACTTAAAATGGAAGTTAACTCCAAACGATGGTATGTTTTTGGTTTTTAATATCTACAAAATACATTGTGACTAACATAAGTATCATATGAAGTGTAATTTGTGGATTTGAATTATTTCTTTCATAGATGCATCAGCATTGCTTTCTCCAGTTGAAGATATAGACTATGGTTACTATCATATTCTTCTCCGAATATGTAATGGGGAAACCATCAGAAAAAATGAAATAGTAGTTCATTATTGTGACTGCACAATTCCAAGTAGCTGCTCCGAATCCATCACAAACAGATCTCTGGATTCAGACATTCAAGTAGAGCGCACTCCAGCTGCAGCACCTCTTCTAGGAGCCTGGAGCATTCCTGCAATGGTCATGGGTTCATTAGCAATGCTATGTAAGCATGTTTATGTCTTAGAGAAGCAACATAAATTGTGAAGGGTCAAACTATTTTCAGTCCTTGCTTAGCAAATACCTCAACTATCTTTAGGTTATAAAAAATCATTTTCCAATTAATGCACATATTTTTGACCAAATTTTGTGTGATTAATAATGCAAACCAGAGAGAGCGTGAAATGTAGCTGTACAAGGTTTTTAATTAAATGAGATGGCAGCAAGTGATTATCTTTGCTGTGTTGCTTTCAGTCACATGTTCACTTATCAACCATTTTGCTAACAACTTGATTGCTGGAACAGAATTTGGATGCTAAATGCTAAATGAGGAGTGGGTATATGTATGTATGCATTCATGCATGCATGTATGTATGTATATGTAGCTAAAAAGGAAATCCCAGGTCCTAATGTAGGGGATAGCTGTTTATTTCCTACCTATGGCTACCTATATAGCCCTTGTATCCAAGCAAAATTCTTTCTTTAAAGCTTTTTTTTTGTCTTATCCATGCCTCCTCTGCTTTTATAAAATTAGACCCCAACTTAATTTCATTATTTAATAAATTGCAATTCATATATTTATTTAAAATGCATAAATAAGCCATCTTGTTCTTTGTAATTTTTTTCTTGCAGTAGGCTTTGGTGCACCTTATGGTCTTTGGCTCTACCGAAAACGTCACACATCTCAGGAAGAATCTGATTTAACTTTTGAGAATGTAACAAGATCAAACACTGAGGCACCAGGTGAAGGAAACATAAGACCAAACATTGAGGCACCAAGAGAAGGAAACACAAGACCAAACACTGAGGCATCAGGAAATACAGGAAATACAGTAAGTGACACTTTGCCTTGTATAGTAGCAAATGTAACAGATTTATTTGGCTAGATTATGAGAAAGAGCAAAAGATGCTGTCTCATTGTTTCAGAAAGCAAAATACATTGCATTTGTATCAGTAAGTCAGGGAATTATGATGTGCTCATATGCTTAAAAGTTAAATACTATTTTTTGTACATGGGAATGTATTATTTACCATTGTTCTTTTCTATTTAAATGTTTAGAAGTGTAAATCTTCCATTAAAAACTGTTCTGGTTGAATCCAGAAAAGTAGATATTTTGAATATTTTGATATTCTGACAGAAGAGAATATTTATGACTCAGGGATGAACTGTGAGATATTTGGTGCTCTCTGAACTTGGTGATTTCTTGCAGAAATTTCATTATCAAACTAAATAACACATCAATATAGTGATGGTGTTATCTAGTTTGTAACTTTATAGCCTAGTACATCCCAGCCGGTGGGATCAACCATATAGTGTTCCAGTTAACATATTACTCTGATCATATGAAATTTCAAGATATAGGGGTTTTGATGCTCTCTGATCAAGCTCAGAGCACAAAAAACATTTTGACATTTCATATGATCAGAGTAATAAGTTACCTGGAACATTATATGGGTGACCCCACTGGAATGTAATAGGCTATAAAGTTACATGAATCCTGAGTGTAGGCAATGGGTAAACATTGTGAAGAAATGGATGACAGTTTAGGGAAAGTGAATTATTATTCAGCCGCACACTGGAATATACAATTAAATCTGGGTACAGATTGTATTTTTTTTCTAAAACATTTCCCCCAGAAATTATATTGTTATTCTTCACATTTCAGAATTTAAATACATTTCCCGTCTCAACAATGAATGAATTCATAAATATGAATACAAATATAGTAAAAACTGAAAAGAAAGATTTGGAAGCAGGAAAAAGAGGATGGCATTCCACATCAGAATTAATCAAGGGAGGAAAAGTGAATCATCTGGCACTATCTTTACAAAACTGTGCACCTTCTTTAAGGAATTCATTCAGAGATTTCTGTTTTGAATGGCAGACGTTCACTAACCCGCGCTTATCTGAAGTAAGTGTTCTCACACAGATTTCTTATAGCATGTAATTTTCTAGTTTTGAGTATTACAGAGTTGGAAAGAACATGTTGGTCTTATGCCATTAATTTTAAGGTACTACTTTGTATCAAAGTTCTTAAAAATAATCCAAAGTGGGTGGCCATGTACTTTACAAAAAACAAGAGCAACAGCACAGACTTATATAGACTCCTCATTTTACCCGCTTCAGAAGATGGAAGGCCGAGTCAACCTTGAGCCTGGTAAGATTTGAACTGCCAAATTGCAGTCAGCTGGTAGTCAGCAGAAGTAGCCTGCAGTAGTGTACTGTAACTACTGCACTACCACGGCTCAAGAATATTATCCCATTGATGTAAAAACAATATATCAATTATCTAAAAAATGAATTATTATTTAGCCAGCTAATCAAGCAAGAGACAGGAAGCATGATGAAAATCAGCACAATTTTCCAGATTTTGCTGCAATCTTAATTCCTATTTTCCCATTTTCCCACACAAACATTTACATCAATTCACACAGCTAGAGGGAATCTGAGATCTGAAGATAATAAATCTAGAATATGCAATATTAGGGAAAACAGCTGTTAATATGCTTCCAATATTTGACTTGAAAAACTTAATGCTAAAATTTAGGACAAGCACTTTAGGACAGAATTACAATGATAGTTGTATTATCTCAAATAAACACTACATTCTTCTAAAAAAGAGATTTTTGGGGGTAAAAATCCATTTTATTGTGTGTGTGCAATTTAGTATGTACGATATAGATCAAGAAGATGTAACAGGCAATTAGAAGACAACTTACTTTTGCATCATACATATATTTTTAAAAAGATTATACTTTTATTGTTCCTTGTCCAGATGGTATTTCTTTGTGGAGAAGATGAAGAACGTAACGTGGCTAAAGAGTATTTACATGCATATAATTATGAAGGCAAAGATTCACCAACTGGTACTCTAAGTTCCTGTACAGGGGAGTCAGAAGAAGAAAAACTGAGTTTTTTAAATGAGCCAGAGCCTCCATTCCGGACATTAGTTGAAGTTTTTGTACAGAAGGATTGTGTTTAAATTATTCCTGAAAATCAGCTCACTTCACTAGAAAATTCCTCTGTGCAGATTCCATTGAAATGAATGAATGGTCTTGAGAAGCTCTAATTAACTGTAACAGAATTTGAAAAAAAAAATTCTTCCCAACAGTTGTGTCTATCCATTCATTCTTTATGGGATATTTTGGAATTTTTTAAAGATTTATTTTAAACAGAGTACAATGGAAAAAATGTTTTAAATTATTAAGGTTTTGAAATATCTTACAGATATTGATTTATGTGAATAATGCAGTTACAAAATTAGATGCTTATTTTTACATCCTTAAATAACTATTTTATTCAAAATGTGCGCTATAATTTAAAATACAAGTATTTCCATAGCCAATACACTATTCCCTTTTGAGGTAAACAGTGGTACGCAAAGTGTAGAAAAAGATTGTACTTCAGGATTTAGAAAACTCAAATCCTCATCTTTAATTTATACTTTCAGCATTTACAAAGATATCTTCAGAATTGAAGAATTCCATAGAAATTTATGGAACAATGTATACTGAATTTTCAAAAATGTCTTCCATATATGCATGTATTCTCATTCTCTCTCTCTGTCTCTCTTTCTCTGTCTCGCTTTCTCATTCTTTCTTCCATACAAAATATAACATATTCCATTATTTTGAGAAACCTCAAGATTAAGATCTTTAAGATCTTACTCATATTTAATGTGCTTTGAGAAATATCACTATGCTTTAAGAATAATATATGGTATTCAATACATATAGAAAATGTATATTTTTTATTATATTGAAAAACAATGTTTTGGCATCTATTTTGATGTAAACCAGTTTTCAAAAAATTCAGCATCTCATCTATCCAAAATACATCAAGGACCAGAACTGAAGTGTGAGATTCAGAAATTAAGCAATGCAATGTTATCAACATACAAGTAGTCCTTGCTCATGACCAGTTGCTTAACAACCATTTGAAATTACAATGGGCCTGGCTTGCTTTTACAACAGTCTCATGCACAGAGGGGGCGCTGCACTTTACAATATTTTTCCCGGCCAATTGAGAAGTTGTCAATTTGCTTAACAACTGTAGTGATTCACCTAATGACTGCCACAAAAATGTCACAAAATCAAATGGGTTCTCATCTTAAAATGGTCCTAACTGTGGTCATAAGTTAAGGATTACCTGTATATTAACTTATATTTTAATGAATTATGAGACAAGCCATGTGCTTTATTATTTTGTCTGATAGCAAACACTGGCTATAAAAGTACAATTAATCAAAGGAGAAATTGAGTATCTTTGTCCAGTACCTTTATGGTGAAAAAAAAAAAATCTTCAATTTAGATTGAAGTCTACTTGATCTCATATTTGAGCCATTTAATAAATCCTATGACTTTTTGTACTTAGCCCATTTAATAAATTCTGTAGAAATTCAAATTTATTTAATATAGTATAACATATTGCTTAACCTGTCTCTTCATATATTTGGGGGGGATGTCCTGCTTTTCATAAAGTGTTTGCATGAATAAGTGCTTTTCCATCCAGTTTTTATAGATTTTCCTGCAATGAAATGAAAATGATCAAAGAGTGCCACAGATAAACTTATTAGACGTATTAATATACAGTATCAACACTGATAAGCTGATGGCTACTTCAATGATATATTGGACTTATATATAAAATTATATATTTTTCAATTTGTGCTCATTAAAGTTGGCTTAAAAAAGTTAAAAGGTTGCAAGCTCCTTTCAGGAATAATGGCAGAAATCAGCATGCACAAAATCCATACCTATAATACTTACATAAACACGGATATCACTATATCTCTACTGTTTTAGAACCTGTCAGTTTAGTGGTATACCACACATTTTATACTATATTATCACTTTCTTCCCAACTCCTACGCATGATTTTTATCCATTCCAGATAATATGAAGGAAAAAAAATGAAGATTAACTATACATTTCAGATATCTACTTTCAGGACACATATAAGCATGCATAAATACAAGAAAGTATGAATACACAGATGCAGAAAATAAAACAGGAACATCCATTACAAAAAAGAATGTTGAGTCCAATGCCTTATGTTTAAATTGTTGTTGTTGTTAGTTGTGAAGTGGTGTCTGACCCATTGCGACCCCATGGACAATGTTCCTCCAGGCCTTCCTGTCCTCTACCATCCTCTACAGTCCATTTACGCTCCCTCCGACTACTTCAGTGACTCCATTCAGCCACCTCAAACTCTGTCGTCCCCTTCTTCTTTTGCCCTCAATCTTTCCCAGCATTAGGCTCTTCTTCAGTGAGTCCTTCCTTCTCATTAGATGGCCAAAGTATTTTGAGTTTCATCTTCAAGATCTGGCCTTCTAAAGAGCAGTCAGAGTTGATCTCCTCTAGGACTAACTGGTTTGATCGCCTTGCAGTCCAAGGGACTTGCAGAAGTCTTCTCTAGTACCATAGTTCATAGGCCTCAATTCTTAGATGCTCAGCCTTTCTTATGGTCCAACCTTCATAGCCATACATTGCAACTGGAAAAACCATAGCCTTGGCTATACACACTTTTGTTGGCAGAGTGATGTCTCTGCTTTTTAGTATACTGTCTAGATTTGCCATAGCTTTCCTCTCCAGGAGCGTCTTTTAATTTATTGGCTGCAGTCCCAAACTGCAGTGATCTCGGAGCCCAGGTAAATAAAACCTACCTCCATTTCTTTCCCATCTATTTGCCAGGAATTGAGAGGGCCAGATGCCATGATCTTAGCTTTCTTAATGTTGAGTTTCAAGCCAACTTTTGCACTCGCCTTCTTTACTCGCATAAAGAGGCTCTTTAGTTCCTCTTCACTTTCTGCCATTAGAGTGGTGTCATCTGCATATCTGAGGTTGTTGATATTTCTTCAGGCAATCTTAATTCCAACTTTTGATTTGTCTATCCCCACCTTTCTCATGATGTGCTCTGCATATAAGTTAAATAGGCAAGGCAACAGTATACAGCCTTGCTGAACTCCTTTCCCAATTTTGAACCAATCAGTGGTTCCGTGTCCAGTTCTCACTGTTGCTTCTTGACCCGTATGTACGTAGGTTTCTCAAGAAACAAAGAAGATGGTCTGGTACGCCCATCTCTTTAAGAACTTGCCACAATTTGCCACATATATTTAAATACACATATGCTGTGTATTCGGATTACTCTGGATCAAAATAAAATAGACTTATTTCTATTTCTTCAATAAAATCATTTTTAAGAATAGTGATGCTTTGTTACTTATCACATTTTATTTACTAAAATAGATCACTATTTAGTAATAGAAATAATTATAAAATAAAGCACTGATTTTAGGGGATTTAGGAAGTATAAAGGAATAGTTCACTATTGATTTACTTTATTATAAAATAGTTAATTCATAAAGTAAAATAAGATCTTAAGACAGTTACCAAATACAGTCATAGTATTAGTTTATATGAGAGACAGAATGAAAATGAAAATGCACAGTAATTAAAATACATCTTTCATTCAAATGAAATTCTTGTTGTAAGAACAACTGGGCTAAAGAAAGCCTTTCCAACACAGTTCATAACCTTCACCCATCCTTTTCCACTATCGCTTTTTATATGAACAGCAGAGATTTTTTTCAGTATTCTACTGTATTATTGAAAACATAAAAAGCAAATTTCTGTTGTAAAAATATTTCAATAAAAGAAACAGGAGACAGCAATACAACCAAACAATTCTTTCTTTTAGATTCAGAGGTTTTATTTCATGAGCAATTTGAAACATGAATAGCCATCATAACATTACTTGCAGCAGCAACCCATTGCAAAGAGGTTGAGACAATAGCCAAGTCCGCTAGGAATAGTACAGCAGCACATAAGCAGATAAGATGGTCGCTGGAAGAGACCTGCTGTCCAGCTAAGATCCCTGACCATTCCTTGTGTTGGAGCTTCAGGTCACCAGTCCACTCTTATACAAACTATCTACTTTGGATCAGAGGTAAGCCATTTGGTCCCTTGGCAGACTGCAGTTAGCTAGATAGGGTGTGTGAGTTAGAGAGGGTTGGACCTGTCCCAGAATTTGGCTGCAAGGGAAGGGCCACAACCGGACTTTTTGGGTGGACAGGCCCGTGTTATGAAATGCTTTGTCCATCAGACCTCCTCTGACGAAGTCGGCCACCATCACCGCCAACCAGGTGGCTCTTGCTCCTCTGCTTGCCTCTGCCATTGCTTGTGTATCAGACAATTCACCTCCTTCTGTCCCTTTCTTGGTCATCTTGCTGATGCATAAGCCTCTGTTCCTGTCTCTGAACACCGTGTATAGTGCAACTCTAACTGGGGAGGGCAAAAACTATTTTTTTTTCTTGTTTTCCTCTTCGAAATCTTGGTGCGTCTTATACTCCGAAAAATATGGTATCTTATGGCTTATCATTCAAAAGCATAAAATAGTGTCCAATAAAATATAGATCTTTTAGAACAACAGTTTAGTACAAATCTAAAAGGTCTGCATCTTGATTATTGGGCTTGTCCATTTTTTTCTATTTGCTATAAAATGTTTAAAACTAGAACAATGCACATTGATCAATGCTCTCAAAAAAATGGACCTGTTAAATCTTTTCTCTATAACTTTCAAATATACTTCTCTACAAATAGAATGTAGAGATAGAATTGAAATAACAGCAATTACATTTATCTGAGATAGGCAAAATGAGGACCCAAATTGTTGGAGGCAATATGCTGATTTTGTAAACTGCTTAGAGCAGTCTGTAAAGTACTATGAAGCGGTATAAAAGTCTACGTGCTATTGCTATCTGAAAAACATGCTATTAAAATTATTTTGCAATTAATATCAACATACATTTAGGGAAATACAAATCTAGTTGTGATGTTAGAGTTCCATTTATTTAATATTTAATTACATTTAATATGTTGGTTACATGTTGGTGTCATTTAAAGTTGATTAGAAAATGGGATGGAGGGAGTCTTTACAGTAATTAATCTTTGGGGTGTGACAAGGTTGTGATTCATTCAGTTACTAATACTTTTGAAAGGTAAGCTATTTAGGATAATAGAAGCAAGAGCTTCATCTCAAAATAGTCATGAAATGGTAAAACCCATTAAGATGACAAAAATGTATTCAAGAGTTTCTAAATTCCACAGCAGTTTATTTAAGTTACTTGTACTTAAGGCTGCCCATCTTATTTACATATAATGGACTGTCACTGTATTTTACAGGACCTTTGACAATTAAACAATATAATTTTTGGTATTATATCACTTTGTCTCAAACACCTTTCATTCCAAAGAAAGGTAGCCAGCTTTATGTTAGACTCTCTTCACAACTCTGTGGAAAAGAAAATAGATTCAGATGATGTTCTTGTTACTTTCAAACTGGCAATTGCAGGAATTTGACCATTCTTGCTCAATGGGGAATTTTCTTCTGTAGCCATTCCTTGTCTTCCCAAGATCTGAATCAAGAAAAATATATACTTGCCTTGACACTCATGCAGATGATCTAGTTAATCAAATGAAAAAGGTACTGTAAGAAGATCTTGATTAAAATGTTTTCAGATACTATGTCTTTCCCCAAGCACTTTTATCAATAGAATACATGTAGCTCACAAAACACTTCTATATTGTAATGAAGTGCAAAAAATAACCTTGGGAAACAAGAGCAGCAGCCTAAACAATAATTTGATGAGAGAAAACTTGAATCCAAAGTCAGAATGGGCAGGGAAGGATACTGCAAAATTCCCATTCCCTCCCCACTCTTGGGGGAAGGATATTGCAAAATCTCCATTCCCACCCCACTCTGGGGCCAGCCACAGGTGGTATTTACCACTTTTCAAAACTACTCAAAATTTCTGCTACTGGTTCTCCAGAACCTGTTGAATTTCACCCTTGGAAGGGACTCTCTCTCTAGTTTTCTGGAAAGTAAACCAAGAGAAGTGCTTTCAGACTTAAAGATTCTGTTGCCGTAACCTTAGAGAAAAGGTAGCATAAGTGCATATGTTTTTGGTTTCCTGTCTGAAGTAATTTGAAGGGTTAACAATATGCGTGTTTAACTTTGCATCTCAAATAGGTAAATGTTTACCCTGCCACAATTTCAAATGCTAAACTGTTCTTAATAGTTTCTCGGGCACCATGTGTTAGTAAAGACACTGACTGACCCCATTGTGTATATTAAAGAATTTCCTTTAAAGACCTTGTTCTGGGAGGAGATGGTTTATTCTGTAAAATTCCAAATTCTATTAATAAACAAGTTCTGTAACAATAACATATATTTAAACTGATAGTTGCACAGGAAAAAGAAATGACGACCATCCGTGAAACAATCCTTGAGTTGCCGGACGACACAGGTAAAGAGAAATTAAAATCATTAAACTTGCTACATGAAAAAAAGTATGATGTTAATGATGCCCCTGAGCCAAATGGGACTCAGGAACTAATATATTCACTCCTTGCAACTTCCTTTTTCAGGAAGGAGAGTCCATTCGTGACGAGAGTTTTGAGGGCGTCGTTTCGAAGTTATACGGCTGCAAGCAGACTTGTCTACAGAGAGTAAAGCCACCCGAAGGCCAAGGCAATTACTAAGAGGTAACGAAGTTGAAGGAGGAGCCGCCTTTCTGGTTCGCCTACCCCGATCTCACACATTCCTGTGCTTATACAGTCAGGGACAAAACAGCTGGGCCGGGCATGTAAATTCCAGTTCTTTTCCTGCCTTCCCAAAGCCAGGCGCGGCTGGAGTTCATTTCCCTGGTCGAATAGAAAGAAAGAGCGAGGGAAAGCAATTAGGCTATCCCAAAGGTGCCACTGCTAGTACTAACCTTCCTCCCTCCGTTGGCCCCACCCTGGCTAGGAGCGAAATCCTATTGCAGGCGGGAGGAGCCGCCAGCTGGAGCCTGAGCGAATCAAGAAAGGCAGAGAAAACAAAGTCCTCGTCGCCGTCTCCTCCTTCTCTTCATTAGTTCCGCCCTTGGAGCTGCAGCCGGTGAGCCGGGCGGGGGAACCTCAGACTCACCTGGTCCAAGTTGTCAGGACTTCGGCGCTCAGCCCAGTGGCCGCAATTCCCGCCAAATCGCCAGCCTCCGGATATGGTCCCGCCGGCAAGAACACGGCACAGAGGGGGCCCGGTTGGAGCCGCTTGCTTCCAGCTCCTCCTCAGCCTCCTGGTGAGTAGGACTCTCCTGGGAAGAGGGGGTGGGGAGGGGTCGCCTTCCGCAGTGAGTGGAGGCAGGAAGGTCGCGGGAATGGCAGGCCGTCGCTGGCCCACGCGGGACCTTGAGAGGTTTGCACTCGCGTGGCAAAGACTAAATTGCGTTGCGCCGGTGTGGAAGTGTTTGCTTGGAGGAGCGGTTCCTTTGGAGTGATCAATGTTTACGCCTGGCATACACTGGGGGGGGGGGATGTTGATTTGCTTTCTTTTTTTCTTTCCCTTAAAAAAAAAAAGAAAATATCTTACACAGTTAAAGGCAAAACTTTAAAGAAGTGAAAGAAAAGCCTCTTCTTTCACTTCTTTTCTTTTTTTCGCTCGCGCGTGCGCTCGGGAAAATGAGGGGAAGGGGGCGGGGGAAATCGGATAAATGAAATTGTGAAGAAATTGCAAAAAAGTAAGAGGATTGGGTGGAAGGTGTCGTATTTCGCCTTGCCCATTAAATAGCACAATTTGGCTGGTTTTAAAGAAGGGCATCGGATTTTCATTAGAAGTGAAGATCGTTGAATTTGCTTTTAAAATAAGATGGCAGTCCAAGGCTACTTCACACTCCTCCCTTCCCGAACAAAAAATGATAAATAAAAGTCTGTCCTTGTTCACCTGATGCAGAGGTTGAGGAGGGGGTAGGCGAGTAGGAGATCTTTAAAAAGTTGTATTTTAAGCAGCTTCTGAGTCACGGGGGAAGAAATAATGCAAATAAAGAGAAGCTAGAACCAAATATTGTATATTTCGTGCTTTAGAAGGGCGTCATCTTTTAGGATGGATATAATTTTGAAAGAGCAGCGTTTACCTTTTGAAGACTTGCTGGACTACAGTTTGTTTCTTTGATTTGTCTCGAATTCTCATGAAATAATGTTTCTGGTTTCCTATTTGAAAGCAACTATTTACCTGTTGATACCAATGATGGTTAATTTGCTTGCATACTCCTCTGCTGAAACCCAAGGAAATATTCTGTCTCTCGAGAGAAGACAAGAAGATCGTTATAATGTTTAGGTGATACTCCATATTCAGAAATTAATTTAATATTGAAAATCATTGTATTTATTTGTCATGAATGATAATTCTAGGTAGTTATTTAACAAAATACAGAAGCATGTGTATAAATTAAGTTTATGAACTACAATGTTTATATTATTGACAAAAAGGAAAGTAAGCAAGGGATTAGCCAAATTCTGCAATGTATTTTTTAATGAGAATATATCCTGCTTTTTTAATGAGAATATATCCTGTTTTAGTTTCAAAAAGAGGCAGTGTATACACAGTTTAGTGAAATTGAAATATTTAATCATTTTACAGTACTATTCCTTTGAATGGGAATATGTATACTGATTTCCCTGGATGTATAACTAACTAACCTAAACACACACACACACAGAGTATAGAATTGAACAAAATATATTAATTGATATTGATAAATTCAAGAAATAATTTATTGCAATCATAATGAGCTCAGATAGTAATAAATTTTGAGAAATGATTAGTACATTTTACTTATATGTATTTTGAATACGAAGCAGAACTTAAAAATATAATAAACTCACTTAAACTAGGTGTGGTTGCTTATGTTGTAAGAACAAACTCCAGAATTTCACATCTAAGTTTTGAGAGTAAGTATAGTTTGACAGTTCAATTAGTTGGCTGCCCCATATTCTGGAGTGATTCCCTCATCCATATATGACAGGGCCTTTAAAAAGCTGACCTGGCTTCATTGTCCAGTTGGGTTGAGGGATTGAGTGGTGTTTCTTTAGTTGTTTAATTATTATCTCCCTTTTGTATTCTTCATATAGGCACACTTTTTTTAGTTTGTGGATTTGGGGGCAGGAAATATTGCTTGATTTGCTGTGTACCATCTCATACTTTGAGTTGGATGTTGCTGTAAATCCATAAATAATTAATTGTTCAAAGAGACTCATTTTTATTTCTAATAAAACATGAAAGTAATAATTATTTTACTAAATCTTTTTACTGGTTGGTGTACTTTTCAATCTGACAGTATATATGAGCAAGGTTGCTGCCTGCTTCTTGCTAAGAATAATGTTTAAATGTACATTTTACTGCACAATTCTGTTATAGTTGTATTCCTAGATCATATACTTTAAATTTATTATGAGTAACAGGTAATTATGATATTTGCATTTATGCTATATAACCCTTTCTCCAACATTATCTTCAACCAGGTAATGAAAATGGTGATAAAAATGAGTGGTTGAAAATTATCAGAAAATTAATAGAATATAATTTTTAGTTTATATAGTACATTCCTAATTAGAATGGTCGAACTATGTTTATTCATAAACATGAAATTCTTCATATTATTCTTATGACATAAGTAACCATGCCGTTGCTTAGTCTAACTTCATAGATAACTAATTTTAATGAACATTTAAGATTATTTAACACAATAAAAATAATGAATAATTTTGTATTAAAACACTGATTATTGAATTTAACTATATGATCTAGTTTATGTGTATCTAGTTATTCTAGATAGAGACCATAAGTTCCAATCCTTTCTTAGACACAGAAGTCAGTTGGATGATTTCCATGCTGGATTGTCTCTTAACCCAGCTAATCTCACAGCTGTGACACGATAAAACTCTAATAAACAAACAAACAAACAAATAAATAAATCATTTATTCCCCTTTCAAGATAATAAAATAGGTTTTTTTTCTTTTTAAGGTGCTTTCTTTTTGTAGCCCTTTAATATTCTTTGCTACTGATAATTTATATAAGCAAAGTCGTAATTTGAGTTAATAGTATTTAATGAAATCGTAGTGCGCTCTTAGATTTAAAATTCAATACTTGGCAACATTCCAAGAATGTTAGTGAAACCTCTTTGTTCAAATTAATGAGAAATGTTTACTGTTTATATTAAACACTACTTGTAACTGATTTGCTGACATTCGAAAGCTAAGCAAAATTGGACCTTGTTTATGCTTGATGGGAGACCCGAAAATAACAATAGCAGCAGCAACCAAACCAAAGCAAGATAAAGGCAAACTTTCCCCTGTTCTTCCAAACAAAATTGCATGGATGGTTTCATAAAGAAACTGGACTCAAAAGAGATTCTTCCTTAAAGAGTTTCCAAATCAGGGAGCATAGCCCATCTCAAGTACAATATCATTTCTGGACATAATATTTTAAGAAGGATTTAGATAAACAAACTAATAGGTTTGGAGAAGGACAAAAAGATAACAAAAAATGGGAAACTAAAGCTATGTGAAAGAAGATTAAAGGAGTTGACATGTTTAGTTTTGAACTGAGGAGAGATAGAACATCATTCTCAAATATCAGAAGGGATGTTATACAGAAAAGGTCAAAAGTCATTCTCTTTTATTCCAGAGTTTAGGACCAGGAATAATGAATTTAACTTACAGTCATTCCTCTTGAATATTAAAAAAAAAAAAAAAACCTTCCTACGATAAGGAGAATAGGACCAGTTAATCAGAAATATAAAGTGCCCCCATTTATGGCTATTTTTTAGTAGAGTGGAAGAATCATCTGCTCAAGAAGCTTTTAGGAACAAAAAACTTGGTTTTAGTCCTTTTTTTCCATTGCATTCAGTGGTTTACATGCAATTTGCACTTCTCCCTCTCCCAGCCTTTATAATTTTATTATAACACAACTGGATTGCAGGATTTGCCTTTAGTTAGAGCTGAATCTCCTGAATCCCTCCTTAGCATTGAGTGATTAATAAATGTTGAAGGAAAAGAAAACCTTCTTTCTGTAGGAATAGAAAATAACATGCAAATGTTTAACATTTTTAGTTTGTTTTAATATATAATAGGCTATTAAAATCTGTGAGAATATTAAAACTATAGCTCACTGCATTTGAGTATGTTTTATAAATGTGCTGTTGCAGTCTTTTAATAGTCTCTAAAATAGCATGAATATTGTACCTTGCTACTCTTCCGTAGAATAAGTGGCTGCATAAAGAATACAGAATTGAAATCCTTGTTTCCTAATGGTGGTGCTCATTATCTGTGTTTTCTATTTTGCCAAACCCATATCCTTGATGGTCTTTGTGAGTAACTGTAGCAAAAATACTGGTTTAACCTAAGTGCATAGGATATCTCAACTCATCATGACCTTGTACTGCAACTGCTTACCCAACAGCTTGCTACTGTCTTGCTAGATATGTTTGGGCTGCATCTCTACAATCCTATATAGAGAAGCCTAAAACTACTTCATATGTGCCATAGGTTCCATTCCAGCTCATGATTATATTGCTTCAGTTTAAACTTGTATGTCACTGTTTTCAGTCTCCTCTGTTCTTTTTAGAACAACCCCTTATAGCAGGGGTTGGATGCGTCATGTGCTGGCCCCACCCCTGCCCAGTTTAGTCAAGGGGGGAAAAGTCCCAATATGTCACATGACGCCACCGTGACAATGGGAATTTGATACCTTAAAGCATTAGTCCTGCCTTGGGGTGAAGTCAACTGAGTGACCTTTCTCAGCCCTAGGAAGTGGCAAATCACGTCTGAAAATGTTGCCAAGAAAATGGCAGGAACTTGTCCCTGCAGTCCTGAAAAGTCAAGTCTGACTTGAAGAAGCATGTATATATACACACACACAAACACACACACACTTTACAGATATATCTTTTTGGAAAAAAGAAGAATGCTGTTGATCTTTTCTCTATAAATTTGACACTTTTCAGTGGATTGGCTCAGTAATGACCCTTATTGCTTACATGTGTTTGGAGATTCTCCATACACACGGAGAAGGTCATGGTTGTCCCAAAGGTACTTTTTCAAGAGGCAACTGGACTTTCTGGGGTTTTTTTTTGAAGATGTTTCACTTCTCATCCAAGAAGCTTCTTCAGCTCTGACTGGTAGTCTTCTTGGATGAGAAATGAAATGTTTTCAAAGAAAACCCAGAAAGACCAGTTGGCCTCTTGAAAAAGCACCTTTGGGGCTTAGTTTTCTATAATCAGTTATTGTCCTCTAGGAAATTCTAAATTTCTAATTATAACAGCATTTTATCATGGAAGAAACATAGCTGGCTCTTGACCATTTATACTTACAACAATGCTGAATGGATGATAGTTGTGATTGCTTCTCATACTTACAGTTGTAACAGCATTCCCAAAGTCATCTGATTGTGATTTGCAACTTTCCATGCCATCTCCTGACAAACAAAGTCAATGGAGAATTTGGCAGGAAATCACAAGACATAGTCACATGACATCCTCGCTTAATAATATGCATGGTTCTGGCTTAATGGCAACTGGGACTGCCAGAATTGCCATTGCTTAACAGTGCAGTCATGTGGGTTTTTGACTTGCGACCATGTTGCTTAATTGAGTTTCTGGTACCAAATAGTGTTATTAAATGAGGACTACCTTTATTATTGATTAGAGGTCTGGGTCTATATAGTGATTGCAATTTACTTTGGAAAGCTGATGTTTATATCCATCTTGTTAACTATAGCTTTATAGGCACTCACAACGGAGTGACCTCCTAGATCTAATTACTCCTTACTGTATTGATATTCTTCCCAGAAAACATCTTGAGAAACTTCCCTGAAAACGTTGTTAAAGTATTACAACTATTTTTATTCACTACAATTGGCATCTTTGATTTAGAGCAATGGTTCTCAAACAGTTTGGTCTCAGGACCCTTTTGAATTCTTAAAAATGATTGAGCTTTGGTTTACGTGGGTTATATCAATATTTACTGTATTGGTAGTTAAAACTGAGTATTTAAAAAATATTTATGCATTTGACTTCATGGAGCCCATTGGTCCCTAGTTCTTACACTTTGAGAGTTACTGATTTAGAGCAGATATGGGGAACTTGCTACCTTCCACATATTGCTGAACTTCCATTCCTGGCATCCCATTCCACTGGCCATTCCACGTCAACTGCAACATTAATCCATGTGGTTTATATTTCCTTGTTGTTGCATACAGGGTAGACATGAACATTAACAGGATTGTTAACATGCAAAATATTGAATGATCAACAAATTGGCTATTAAGAATTATTGTACCACATAGGAAGAATACATCTAAACAAAAACAGTGGACTCTTTCTATGTGCCGTATTGCCAGTATTTGATAATACAATATTTAACAATCTTTTTAATAAAGGCGAGAAAAAAAACTTTTGAACAAGATGATCAGGTTTTTTGTTGTGTTTGTAGCAATTGCCAGAATTTAAAAAGGAAAACTGCTAATGCTTATTATGAGAATTTGTGAGCCTTCAGTGCTGTTCTATATATTTGTATTTCTCCTTTGTTCATTAGTTTTTCCTTATAAAATAAGTTATACTTGAAATGGGGCACGATGGCGGTATTCTTGGTGCCGTAATGTAGCTGGAAACATCTGTAGGCTTTTTAACACCAATCAATGGCTCTGTTCAAATGAGTCATACTGTAGGCAAGGCTTCCCTAAAGGAAGTGGCCAAATTAGTTTTGGTTCAACTATTATTTATTTATTTGTTTATTTATTTTATTAATAAAATTTATAGGCCACCCAATCCCGGAGGACTCCAGGTGGCTTACAAAAAGAAGGAAGAAGAGATAATAAAAAGAAAAGACAGATTTAAAATCACCACACATGCATTCGTTTTGATCAGGGCTGGATCTCAACAGTGAGGTCAACAGCCCCAGGCCTGCCGGAATAGCCAGGTTTTAACAGGTTTTCTGAAGGCCATGAGAGTGGGCATAAGAACTGAGTATATTCTTCCAAATCTATTGAAAAAGATGGCCTTGTTATTTTTGTGCCCTGCATTGTGTCCCTTGATGTGGGATGTGTTGCTTGAATATTGACTGGTTTCACCTGCTTGCCCAAACATACTATATATACATAGTTACATTGCCTATAGTATGTTACCCTACACTACTTTCCTAAGAGGTCAGTGGCATAACATTGGGATGTGGTTTGTAGTCCCTATTAAATGTGCATTTATTAAGGAAAATTATAGCATTCCCTTCCATAATGGAAACATAATTTTGTGCAACTACCGTATTTATCGGCGTATAACACGCACCGGCGTATAACACGCA